TCCCTTGCATCTCGTGACAATGGTAGCCTGACTTTGCTGTGGGAACCGCCTCAAACTTCCCCATGTTGTCTGGAATTTGTGGGCACAATAAACGGGCCTGAACCACAAGAGCACTCTTTCTCCCTGACCATCACAATGAGCTCAGGGAGGGCACGGGCCCCGCCAGGCTGGAACCGTTGGGGGAACATGCCCTCTGCCCACTGGGGCTTCTGCCCACAGAGATGACACATACTCGGTCATTTTGGCCACCACATGGAGAGAGCCTGCCTGAGAATGCAGCCAACCAGAGGAAAGAGCCAAGACTCAGAGACACTCTCTGGCAACAGACTGTGAGGTTTGCATCTTTGGTTCAGCCACCCCAGAAGATAATTAACCTGCAGATTTCACAGTCACACACGTCCCCTTTACATGAACCCAGTGTCAGTTGAGATCCTGTGTCCGGAACCCAAAAAGGCATGACTCACACTCTGTAGCTTTCTGGTTCCGTGATCTGTGTTCTTTCTGTCCTACTGTGCATCTCTCTTTCTCCCAGCCTGCCCATCCACATCCCGTCATCAGCATCCTCACTTCAGGTAATCTCCCCTGGCCTGTCCAACCGCCCTTCCAGCCCAGGTCAAGACTTCTCTCCCTTCTGCCAAGCGTGTGTTGTAATTTATCTGCTGGCTCACCTTGTTGTTAGCATGGGACAGCGGCCAGCCTGCAACTGCCATGCCTTTCCTGGGAATCCTTACTTAGCTTCTCCAAGTTCTGAGCCAAGATGTGTACTTAGCTCAGTGATGAAGGGTACTGATTTCTGCAGGGTGGCTCTGCCAGAGGCATGGGGTTCAGCTGACCCTTGTGGTCCCCAGCTGGTGCATGTGGTCCCCAGCTGGTTCCTGTTCTCCCCCATTTATACCTATCTCCCCTCCCCAGCTGCCTGCCCTGTGGGCTCCTGCTCCAGCATCAGGCCTGAGGACGGCAGCTTTATAGAGACTGCTCAATCAGCTCCCACGACGGGGTGAGGTCAGGTCCCTGTAATAATTCCCTAGTGATTTTGCTTCTCTGATTGAATGCAGAGTGATACACCACCCCACACCCTCCTAATCGGGTCCTCTTTAGTATGTTATCTAGAGTCTATTTCTGTTGCTGGCAGCCCCAAAATCCCAAACCATACATACTGCATAACACATGAGAAAAGATTTTCAAATAACAGAGCACTAAACACATGCATGTTCTTATTGCTTTTTTACTAATATAGACTGTCCTAGAAAAAGAACTCAAATACACAAATTCATATCTGAATTCTGCCATGTAATACGTGTATGGCTTTGGATCAAGTTATTTACTCTTTCTGAGCCTGTCCCCCCCTCTGTAAAAAGAGAAGAAAACAAAAGTAATTAGGACTAGGGACCCAGGCATACAAGAGAAAATTCCAAGCTGAGCAGTCCAGTAAACTGCCTCCCACATGCCCGGTGGCCCCGATGGACCAGGCACCAGACTCCTCACACTCTAGGTTCTACCATCCCTGGAGTACAGGCCCACCCTCATGGTCCATGGTGGCCACACCTTGCTGAAAGGGAGGCAGGCAAGTGTCATCTTTATTATGTGCTGTGATTAAAATTGAGCTCTGTTACGAAGGAGGAAAGAGTAGGTGTGGGGAGGCACCCTGCTGCCTGCCACAGTGGGAGACAATAACATGGCTGTGGCGAAGAAGTGATGGAAACCAGTGCCAGACCATGCCAGGCCACCAACAAGGGTTAGCTTCCCCTCTCTTCTTCCCCATACAGTGCCTCTTTGCTCACTCCTGATTTCATGAGAATCCCTCCAAAATTCACTGTGAAACATTTTAAAATAAAACTTATATCCTTAAAGTAGTGAAATTGATAAGGGGGAAATGCATCAAACAGCTTCCACCTATATATAAGAAAGATGAGGTTAAGAGTTTGAGTACTAGAGATAGACAAACCATTTTTCTATTTCTGGATCTCCTGCTTACTGGTGGTGGGGCTTTGGGTAAGTCTCTTAACCTCTTAAAGCCTGTTTCTCAATTGCAAATGTCAACAATAGTCCCAACCTCAAAGTTTTACGGTGAGGATTGAAGAATATAATGCAGGAGAAACTCTTAGTCTACTGCCTGGCACATAGTAAGTGCTCAGTAAACATTAGCTGCTATTTTTGTCAATATTATTTATATAAGTTATCACGATCAAGTCTGTCTAGTCCACGCCAATGGTTTTCCCCCTGGTCTCACTCTTGTTGAAGCTGCTTCAACAACCTTTTGAAAATGAGAAAAAGAATGAGATTTGTGACATTTCTCCTACGTTTTACTGAGCAGCTTTGGAAAATCCACAGCATGCCCCAGTAGCTATATTGGTGGATGAGCGGAGACTGTGACCACCAGGACTCTTCTGTTAAGACTGCCAGGTTCTGTGATCCATGTGGAGTGGACGGTAACAATTTCCTCTGGTCCACTGTTCCAAGACCTGAGTGTGAGGACCAGGCCAGCGCTCAAAGGGTTCCAAACGTGTGTACTGCAAGCACAGATGACCTCTGAGTGTGAATGTTATCTCTCACCAGATAAGGGATGTGCTCAGCCCAGATCAAACACTTGTTTATCTGCAGGGTGCTGAGAACCAAACCTCTGCTTCTGTTCCTCCCAGGTTGTTGATTTGCTAATCCTTATCGCCTCTGATGGTGGTGTTGTTTGCGCACCTGATCTGTTCCTGGCTTGGTTAGACTGAGAGGTGCCCTGCTTCTCAGGGGGAATGGAATGCAGTGGCCTCCTGGGGCGGTGCAGGAAGAAGAGAGATGGACCAGGGGGTCAGAAGACACAGCACCTGAGTCTGTCTCCAAGGGAGATTGGGCTCAGCTGACTCGAAGGCCTCTTCCAGGTCCCACGTTCCAATTTACTACAAATGGCCTATTGTGAGCATTCTTAGGGATAAAGAAGAAAAGTTGAAGATGACAAAATGAGGAGAAAGTGTGTCTTCAGCCTGCTGTGTGAGGGAGTTGCAGTCTCTGACCACACTCTTTATTTTTGTTGCTTATTTTAGCTGTGTGGTCCACAGCGCCAAAAGTGGGCAGATGGAGGCCTCCTGCTCATTGATTTGTTGGTGCAGAAATAGCTTGTAAAAACAATGACTATATCCCATGCAAATCCGGAGCAAGGAAGGTGGGGGGAGGGAAATTCTAGAATGTTTGCAGGAAGGTAAGTGATGATATAAAGTCCTTACTTTGAGAAAAACTACTTCATATTACAATTAGAACTTATAGAATGAATTAATGGTGGAAAGTGGAGTCATATACTATTTATTTCACAAGAAAATTCCTCGCTTTATAAAGCTGAATGTTATCTCTTGGAAGTTGCCTCTCATTGTGCACTAAAAATAAGGTTGAAACTATAATAAAGCTTTTATTTATACAACTTTTTAATTATATAACTTTTGATACAAATTTTAATTATACGACTTTTGAAGTGTTATCGTATATAAAGTGTTACTTTTCATAAACACACTCACATTTGGAGAAATTTACATAAGATAATGTCTTTCTTGAGGTCCAGTTTGACTTGTATGCCTACTTGGAATTGAACAATGAAGATTTTTCCAGTTGCACTTGAAAGGCCAAATCCATTTTCTTGCAATAAAAGGTGGGCAATACCCAGACTTCCCCACAAGGGGGCAGTGCATCATAGGGTCTTCAGTTGCCACGAAGTCAAGATTGCCAATACACAGCCTTAGGAGAGGGCCTCCTTCCAGGGGAAGACAATTCACTAAGAGTTGTTAAGACACACATCTCACAGTGCTTAGTAACAGGGATCCTATACTCAGTAAATTTAAAATATAATGGAATGTTAACATTTAAAATAAAAAACAGAGAAAGTAAAAAATAAAGGCTCATCTGATAATGCCTTTGCATAGGCATAATTGAAAAGCTCTAAGTATTTGCCAAAAACCATTTGGCTGTTCTCAGGCAAAAAACAGATGAAATCATTCTGTGTATTGGACAGTCCTTAGACATTAACAGAAACAAACTATTTTTCCTATATAAATACAAAATTTATCCACCTAAGTCACCAACAAAAGTGATTTTCAGTAGGTACTAATACACACCAAGTCATAAATATATTGTTTTCCCTTCAAGTTTCTTTTGTGAGTTTATAGATGCATGAGGTCATATGCTCTATTCATGTTCTACTGCGCGTGTCTTTGGACTGCCCTCGATGGAAACAGTGCTTAGGATTTAAAACAAATCACTATTAAGTATAAATAATTCCCAAGAAAAGAAATTTCGGGTATAAGGTCAGTTTGAGTGTTTAAGGGGAATATCCCTCTCATATTTTTGTGCTGGGCTGGGCTTTCCCTGAATGTACGTGAAGGATACTAAAATTGATTCAGCAAGTCAGGGAAACAAGTGATTCCACTGTGTCTTACCTACACTAGCTGAGGAGAAGCCAGAAGTGCCTATTGGGTGCCAAGACCCAGGAATAGCCTAAGGAAGCATGAATTGATCACTTCCTAGTTTTTACCGCATGGGAGACTTTATGCTTAACCCTTCTGTCACACTGGCAGAATCCACTTATGCCTCCTTATATCTAGTTCCCTGTCTTCCTCAGTACCAGAACTCCTGAATGTGAGTTAAGTGTATTATTGTACAGAATAAAGTCTATGTTTCTCAGCCTCACTATGGCGAGTGTAGTCACATGACCAAACCATGGCCAATGGGATGAGAACAGAAATGTTTAATATTCCAAACAAGTGACTTTCCAAGAACCCCTGAAATCACATGAATTGCACGTACTACGAATGTTTTAGGTGGCTCTGTCTCTTGAATGGAGGGGCGAGAGTAGTCTAATGCAAGTGATAAAATTTATACCTCTGAGCTTAGCTAAAGATATGGTGAACACTGAAGAAACAAAGTGAATTAAGAGATACTTATTAAGCATGTATAAAGCAAAAGAAGTGATGGTGTTAGCTTTATTACTACTGCTAAGTGAAAAGAATCAAAGCTACCACAGATTTCAAAAACAGAAATTTATTCATAAAATATATTAAAAAGTTTGACAAAAAATAAGGCTACAAAACCCCCATAATCTTGTTCATCTCAACATCACTTACCATTGTCAACAACCAAAAGTCTCACTAATTTAACTCTTGTTTAAGTAAAAAAGAGGTCTTTGTAAGTCATAGTATTTCATTTTATAGATGATACTGCTAAAAACAGTTACCCAAATCTAGTCTGACTGTGCCACTTTGGTATTTTATAAAGTAATATTCTGTACAGAAACTTAGTGATACTGAAATCTCTCAAAGTGTATTTATGAAGGTTAATTCACATCAGTTTTACCAAGGCAGATTTTAAACCAAAATAGTGATCCCTACCACAAAACTGTAAACACTAAAATGCAACATAAGTGTTATTATAAAATATGAAACGTTGGGGGATGTTGAACAAATTTAACATATGTTTAAATACAGACAAGTATCGATTTTTTCTTAGAAATGGGGGGAATGGAGCGGAGCTGGCTCTGGAGAGAGAGGTGCCCCCAGGTGCAGCAGCAAAACAGCAACTCACCAGGTCACCGAAACACAGTGCTGGGCATTTCACGCCCGGAGAGAGGCTAGCCTGGATGTGTACGTCTGAGGCCTTTTTTCATCAGGCAAATCCAACTTTGTTCAATGAGGGTCCGAGGATGCACAGCACATTTTAAATTCTATGAGTCTTCTGCTGGAAGGTTTCAAGTCCAAAGTCTTCAGATCAAATTTTATGGAGTTTTGTAATAATCAGTACTCTTACCATTTGATCAAATGAACTACAGATGCAGAGGCCCCTTTTATCTGGACTCCAGTCCAGACTGGAGATGGGCTGGGTGGACAACGTCACGTTCTGCAGAAGGCTGACTGACCCCGCAACTCCCATCTCGACTCCCTCGGAATCTTTCTTTGACCGCTGAATAGGGTATTCGCTGAAAACAAGATCAAAATGGTAAGAAGACATGCATCTTAGCCTTCACCATTTTATTTTTGTACATATACTCCAATAACTAGTTTTATTTCTCAGTTGATTATTGGAACTGACAAATACTTAAACAATGTTTCTAATGTTGAGCTGTATGCACATGAAGAGACATTATTTCAACCTCAACGTCAGCCCTAAAACAGAAATCTCATCAAACAGTTAGTTCTAAAACTTTTAAACATAATTTCTGCTCAGCATGAGTCTGTGTTTTTTCTTGTAATATGTAAGTTCTAGGTTGATCTAGCATTTTTATTTTTTTATTTTTTAAAAGATTTTATTAGGGAATTGGGGGAGGGGAACAGCACTGGGGAATCGGGGAAGGGGGACAGACAAGTTGCTGTCCTTTTGTTCTTCAGTCTAGTTGTGGAGGACGTTGCTTCACTGGCCCATGTTGGTATTCTGATCATTGCGCTCTTCCAGGGTGAGGCAGATCGGTCACCGGCCTCTGGACGGCTGCTCACGGCGGCTCTTGACAGCTCACGCTGGCTGCCAGCCACTCACGGTAGCTCATGGCAGCCCACTGCAGCAGGGACTGCAGCCTACGCCATCGCCGGCGACAGCAGCCCAGCTCCAGGTCGAGCCGTTGTTCACCATCTTAGCTGTAGAGGGCAGTGTCACTGGTCCTCATGTGGGATACGAACTGGGGCCCAGCTGCTCTGAGCTGGCGTCCCAAGCCAGCTCTTAACCAACGAGCCACTCAGCCGGCCCTGATCTAGCATTTTTAAATAAATTTATTTGGTGCTCTTGATAACATTTTATTGTAATTCTCCTCTAGATTGGGATTGCTAGATGCCACAGGCAAACAGCATGTGCGAAGACAAAAGCTGTGAGTCACATTTGCAGAACCCCATTGAAACACTTCCAGAATGGAGGACACTGATTTCTAACCCCAGAGCTCTGATATATAGATCCATGCCTGAGGACTCTTGTGTACCATTTCTATGGGAAGGCACTGCTGGGGGAGATTTTAGACCTAAACATCATTGCTTCAAAAAAGAAAAAAGCAATTCTGAGGACACTGGGTTTTCTTCCAGCTGAAAATATAAATTTATAAACTAAGAGCTGTAGGTGAAGAACTCATAAATGCTACTTGGTCTAGATTTGAGAGAGGAAAAAGGAAACATCCCTCCTGCACAGAGATGTGTTCCTGGTGAAATACAGAGGTATGCTCCTCCCTGAGGGGGCCTCTCAAAGCTTGGTAGGTATCAACTGTGATGCCCCTTTACTTCATAAATGTTAACAAGGGCCAAAGTTTCAGAGGCACAAAGCAGTTCAGAAACAGAGTGGAAACAGAGGTGACAGGCCAATAGCCAATCAACCTTTTCTTTCTTCTTTTTTTTTTTTTTAATTGGGGAACAGTGTGTTTTTCCAGGACCCATCAGCTCCAAGTCAAGTAGTTGTTTCAATCCAGTTGTGGAGGGCACAGCTCAGTGGCCCATGTGGGAATCAAGCCAGCAACCTTGGTGTTATGAGCACTGTGCTCTAACCAACTGAGCTAACCGGCCGCCCCGGTAACCTACTATTCTTTCTTCCTCTCAGACTCTACAACTTCTTTTGATTAAAAGGAATAAAACATTCAGATGAATAGAAGTTTATGGAATTTTTTTCCTATGTCTCTCGGCAAAGGCTGCAGTTATTTAGTATTTAAAAGATAGCAGATTTTTTAAAAACCCTCTATATTGTCTATTAAAGTTTTAAGACTATATATATGTGTGTTTCAAATATTTAACAAATCGGTATCTTGGGTTCTATTCATTCAAAAAATAATTTCTGAATAACTAGATGATTTTCCTTAGGGACTCTTGGGTAAGTGCTTAATAAATATTTATAATTTAATTGTATCACTACCAAGGGAGACTGGCAAATGGAAATAAAGCTAAATATCATTTTACTTAAACCAGTTCTCCTTTGCTGATGTAATAAATACCTGATAGCAAAACTCCAAACTAATTTGGAGATTAGATTAGATATCTGTGATGGTAAGGATTAAAGTTCATATTGAGATAAATTGAAATTTCTAATTGCATACAGACCCAACTTTACTAACTAAATCCACTATAGTAAAAAATTCTAGCTGCAAATGTGTTTGCGTGTCACATGGACACAGCTCCTTATCTGGATTACAAGGAAAACTGGAACTAGAGCTTCGGGTAAGCAGCCTAAAGAGTTGGGTCATCAAGTAGGAGAGTGGAGTGGTGTGCGTGGCTTCCGGGACCTGCATACTCCGTCACAGAGTGGAATCTGGGCGGGCAGCATCAGGGAAGAACCAGAGGCAGAGGCGCCAGGGGATGGGGAATTACCATATTTCCTCATGTATAAGATGCACCCCTTTTCGAAAAATTTTGGGTCTAAAAACTGGGTGCTTCTTATACAGTGGTTGTAGATTTTTTACTTGCGTTTCCCACAAGTGATGAGGAGTTGTATGAATTTTATGATGAATAAAACTTGAGTTCAGTAACTTTATATAATACATTTTTTTCAAATTTTGGGCCTCAAAATTAGGTGCATCTTATACATGGGGAGATATGGTACCACGTAATCATTCTCCCAGATCTCCGATAACTTTCCCTCTGCTTCTTACTCACAGAAACCATGTAGTTTCAATCTAAAGTATTCATTCTTGGTTTTCGGTCAGCTCTCTCTCTACATACTTTTTAACAAGTACCTTCCAACTGTAGCCCTGTGTTTCAGAACCTTTTCTAGCTTCTTAAAGGAGCTAATAAATGGAGAAGTATTTTGTAAATGTGAAAGTCCCAGAAATATTGAAAATAGTGGTTTTCTTCTGTTTTTAAACTTTATTTTTGAAATACCATATTTCCCCATGTATAAGACGCACCGTTTTTGGAAAAATTTGGGGTGTAAAAACTGGGTGCGTCTTATACAGTGGTTGTAGATTTCAAATGCCATAGATGGAACTGAGGATGAGGCAATATATGAAGACGGTGATTCGTCATCAGACACAGATGAGGACAAGCTAATGGTTGGGAGTTTTGACAGTGATGAGGAATTGTATGAATTTTATGATGAATAAAACGATTTCAATAACTTTATGTAGTACATTTTTTTTCAAATTTTGGGCCCCAAAATTAAGGTGTGTCTTATACATGGGAACATCTTATACATGGGGAAATATGGTACTTTTCATTTATGGCTTGTTTTGTTCTTTTTTCTTAAGTGACATTTAGGGGAAGGAATACCATCAAATCCTGATTTTTACCAGGCCTTTCAATGGGCAGCTAACCTAGTATCTGCTGCCTTTGGGCCCTTAGGATTCCGAGCATGGTGCATGGGAAGCTGTCGCATCACTCACCCTGCCTACAGTGTGCAGAAAGCAAATTCAGTGACAAGGCTTTTCCTGGACATCAATCAGTGGCGCCAGGCTCTTGTTTGGTTCCATCACAAGGATGTTCTACTTGTCAAATGACTTATCAGGACCTAAAACTAAGAACTCCAACCCTTTTCCTATCTTCTAGGGATAGTGTTCTAATGACCTGATGACACTATTTCACAAAAGCTTTTGGTGAAAGTTTTCCTATTAAAGAAAAAACACCACAAAACTAGCAAAAATCTAATTTTTTTTCATGATTTCAAATCTATGAAAAGAAGTGTTCCTGGTCTATTCTACCATATAGAAGACACAACTAAAATAACAAACATATTTAATGTGTCAAAAGAAGGTTAATATTTACTAAGTGTAAAATAAGTAGATTACCGTATTTGCCGGCGTATAAGACGATTTTTTGGCCCTGAAAAATATGCCTCCAAGTGGGGGGTCATCTTATACGCCAGGTACACTTCAGATAGACTGCCCATAGTGCTTGCCCCGTGCCATAGTGGCCTCCCGATGCCCGCCCACTTCATTCCACATACCGTTCAGGCATCAGCAGCGCTGCTGGGTGTATGCTCGGCTGTTATGCGATTTTGCCGTTATGCGATTTTACTACACTGGCAAAATCGCACACAGCCGACCATACACCCAGTATGATAGCGCAAAATCGCGAATCGCGATACCATACTGGGTGTATGGTCGGCTGTGTGCGATTTTGCGAGTGTGGTAAATTCGGGTTACTGTATATTTCTTTACATATGCATTGAAGATTCGCGATTTTGCGCTATCATGGTGCCTGTTAGAATGTTGAAGAGCTCGCACTTGCGCACTAGTGAGGTCCCAGGGAGATGCTGATGCAAGGGTGGACCAGACTGCTATAGTGACAGGGCGGGCAAACAGGGAGCAGGGACCAATCAAATCAGGCTTTGTATACAGCCAACAGCCAACCACAATACTGCACCATTGTACAGTACAGCATAGAAAATGTCGACCAGTCAAACCCCTATCATCCCTATCATGGCACCAGCCAAAAGAAAGAAGTATGATGCAAATTTTAAACTGAAAGTTATAAACTTTGCTAAGGAAAATAATAATTGTGCTGCTGCAAGACAATATGGAGTAACAGAAAAGATGGTTCGGGACTGGAAATCAAATGAGAAAGCATTAAAGAGTATGCCAAGGGGTAAGTGTGCATTAAGAAGAGGCACCCCACACTGGCCAGAACTCGAAAAACATGTAGCAGACATGGTGGCTCAACATGGCCAAAACGGTTATGTGGTGACACGAAATACAATACGCTTGTTTGCACTTCAGTGGGCCAAATCAAATCTGATATTGTTTTACCTTTTATTTGGTGTGTGGAAGGTGTGCGGAAGAGGGGGTAGTCTTATACGGCGAGTATATAACAAACTCTGTATTTTGAGTGGAAATGTTAGGGGGTCATCTTATACGCCCAGTCGTCTTATACGCCGGCAAATACGGTAGTAAAATAAAAAAAATGCTTAGAAAATAACATAGTTCAGCCTAATCCTACTTTACACCCACAAGTAACTTAACAAGGAGCCGTGTGTGCTGGCAGACTTACTACTTCCAGAGGTGAAGGCCGCCGGCACCCCCTGCAGTCAGAAAGAGCTCTCGGTTCTGTGGCAGGTGGCGGACCTGCCACACGGTGGATTTATGAGCCTAAACAGGATGAGAGGCACACAACCGGTTTATAAGTTTATATGACAAACACTGACTGTCCTAGAATAGAATAAATAAAGAAAGAATTTTTACTTCTATAATTTCAACTGTTATAATTAAAAGTATTTTCTGGCACTTCTCTTTACAATGGCTATAGAGCTTTATAGGAGCCCATCAGAAATCAGGAAAAGCATCGTTTTCCTTTATGCTTTATGAAACAAAGTTCTACTGGATTTTAAAAAAAGATGTCATTAGATTAAAAGTCCATTTAAGTTTTTAGTACCATACAAATGCAAATAGATTTTATTCATTTAAATATCTCTAGCTCACTGAGGAGAAAAAAACTCAAAATATAAACGCACATACTTCTTCCTAAGTGAAAAAAAAGAGATTGAATTTTTAAAAAATACACTTTATTTTTTACTGCAGTTTTAGGTTCACAGCAAAACTGAGTGGAAAGAAGAGGTCCCATCTACAGAATGAACTTTTACTTCAAGCTCCCAGAGCCTTGTCTTCAATCTACCCCACTGGGCTTGTCTAGTCTTCAAAAGAAGGACCATGAGGATTTACAGGCAGTGTTTCCGGTCCCAACAAGCCAAGGCCTCATCAGTCATATTAAACTAAAAGATAAAAATGGCAACTGGATGAAGGTTAACAGCTTGTTAGCACCTTAACAACAGCCAGTAAATCAATCCTAATAGTGCTATATTCACTGTGGGGAATTTGAGGAGAGAGAGAAAGAGAAAGACAAGAGGGGAGGAGAGAAAGAGGGAACAAGGGAGGGTGGGATGAAAGACTTCTGCTTTGTGGAAGTGGTGAGTCTGGCTAACTTGATCTAAGCCACACATAAGGCACTTCACATTTTAGTGAGTGATTAGTCTTGACATTTGATTTTAACAGCCTTTTAAGAGAATTACTATTAGCAGATAAAAACACATTATCTCAAAATACACATTTTAAGTGTGTTAAGAGTCCTCAAGTGATTAGGTTCAAAGTGTTAAAACTTATTTTGTTTTGTAGATTAAACTTCTTTTGCAAAAGGGGAAATGACCTCTGTAAATACCTCAGTTATTTATTTGACAGATTAACTAAATGTAACAAAAAACCTTTGAAGACGACAATGTAATTTACAGATAATGAGAAATGTAATTGTCTGTAGAACAATTTAGTAAAGTGCTTTATGCTGTTGATAATATATTCTGGAATGACAAAAGCGAAACAATATTACAATGTATAGTTACCTTGTTAAGAATTTAGTTCATCAGGAAGTGACAGTAATTTACATGCAATAATAATAATTAGTGTGATAATAAAATAAGACAAAATAGGAAGGTTTGAGAAGTACCACTGAATCCATGGTAGAGGGAGCAAAGGAGTGAAGTTTTATTTCCTGAACAACTTACATATTTCAATCTTATAGAAACTACAAGTCTGTAACTGATCTTTCTTTATTTTTATACTCCAGGAAGCTCAGAGTCACATTTCCAGCCCATCTCTTGCAAAGGACAGGAAGTTTCAGCATGAATTTTATGCAATCTCCTACTCCAGACATCACCTTTTTTTTTTTTTAACCAGTATTTTCCCTTTGCCCTGCTTTCTTCATCTATTTTTCTAATGTTGTAATGCCATATGTTTCTTTCTAAGCTACTTCAAATACTATTTGGACTAAGGCAAAGTATGTGTATGTGCGTGTATGTATGTATGTATGAATGAATAAGTTTTGAACATCTACTGTGTACTGATCACACTGATTAGCACTTTAAATAATTTCATTTAATATAGCAAACTGGAATATAAAATCAAGTGTGACGAAATTACATCATCTATATATACATATATGTTGATATACTTTGAAAAGTATATAATTAATATTATACAAAGGTATATGGTGGTATGGACCTAAAAGTATATAATTAGGTATTAATACAGATATTAAATATTTACTAGGAAACACAAAGCCAGCTTTTGTTGATCAACTTCCTAACATCAGCTAGTTTTCCTGTGATTGCTCCTAAACAACAAAATATTATATAAAGCCAACTGAGGCCTTTATTATAATCAAGAAGTCTGAAACTGAAAAACTTTTGGAAAGTATTCTTTGCAGAGAAAAACTTGTCAAGATCCCACAAGAATATATTAAAAATAGCTCCCTTCACATAAAGACCTGGAAGGAACCCTGGTGACTAAGCCTATTTCTTAGTCTTAAACAAGCTATGAATGTTCCTCTTCACAGAAAGACATTTCCCTCATATTTACCTTTTCTGAAACAGAAGCAAAACCTTTGGTTGGATGCTGTGTTCTCATGTCAAAAACATGAAACTTTCCTTCCAGGGATGTAGCTATTAACTTATTCATACTTATATCTTTTCTGTCAAACTCCAAGCTACATACCTGAAAATAGAGAATATTTATTATTGATAGTCCAATGAGCATGATTCAGGAGGTTCTTTTAAACTAAGTAAAACAACTTTCAAGTTATCAGCTCGTGTGAAAGCTCTTAAACAATCATGTTGTCTTTTGAATTAATACATCAAATACTTTTAAACCATAAAACAATTCCTTCTTGGTTAATAAGATCAAAACCATCTTGAGTTCCTCTGTCTAGCAGATGCATTTGGAAAGCCATAATGTAATTTTTCAGTTATTACATAATTTACTGTATACAGTTAAGTCAAGGCTGACTTTAGAAAACAGGAGGAAACCCCATTCTTCACCAAAGGCATACAACTCAGGAACTGAAAATCTGAAAGTACCTGGGAAGACGATTACTATTTCTGGCTTCCTAATATTAGCAGGAAAAATCCTCTTACTTGCTTATCACAATGCACGGCCCACAGGGGTCCACAGACAGGCCACAGGGTGTGGCGACTCACCCGCCATTGTCATCCCACATCTGGGTGTGTGTTCACTTCCCAAGAGAAGTTCTATGATTTTCATTAGATTCCCCAAGGGCTCTATGCCCGCTAAGGTGAAGAACCACTCATGGAGAGAGAGGCTGGACTGAGGTGAGTTATGAGAGGCGCTTTCCTTTGGTCATGGTTCAGAGGTAGTTTAGTTTCACGTGCTCCGCGAAACTAAAAGGAATCCAGACGTGCATTACCCCATTTTTGATGTTTGTCTCCCACCGCAATGACATATTTCTGAGATCAAACAGTTTGATATCCCCGTTGTCGTAGCCAGCACAAACAACACGTTCCTCTTGATTGTAAGCGTTACCTGGAAATCAAGATGCATGTTTCAGATCCTAACAAATGCTAATCTGAAGGCTGCTAAAATAATCTTATCAAACTACACATGTAACTTGTACAAAATCAGATTTAAAAAATCACAATGGGCAGAATCGCTTGTTACCAATCCTAATAGGACATTAAGAGTATAAATTTGGTATCTGCTACTGTTTCGGTTTTTTTGTTTTAATTCATCCTACACTAAACAGATATGTGAAAGTGTTTATTGGATTCTGAGTTGAAAGTAAATGTTCTCTCTGTACTATATCTGTGAAGACTAAAAGGCCAACTGTAGTGGAAACATAGTAGGGTTTGGTAGGATAAATGCACCTATGCTTCCGTTGCTTTCTTTGACAGTAACTATATTTGAATACAAATAGAAACTACTGTAAAACTTAATTTATTTTGAAAACGTTGCTCTGGTACTATCTCCTCTTTGCAAGGAAACCTGAGCTAAGTTATAGCACACTGGGATCTACAATATTTTTAGCTGTATGGATGATCACAGCTGAAGTGAGTTTATAATCTGCAGTGAATGCATCCTGCTTGGTTGCAGAGCCTGTTTCCTGGAGCACCTGTGCTGAGGAAAGTGCCCAAGAGGCCCCTGACACTGTGCTAGGCTATCTGGGCATCTTGTTCCAGGGCTTTTGTTTTCTATTGCCTCCCACTCCCTCTTTCTCATAAACTCCAGCCCTAGGCTCCCCCTAGATGACACAATAGCATCTTAAACTCAGGATGTCCAAAACTGACCTCACCATCTTCCTTTACAAACCATCACAGCTTTTGTGGAACTTTTCAGTTAATAATGCCATTCACCCCACAATCAGCCTCAAAATCCAGTCACTTGGATATAATCCTTTCCCTTGTTCCTCATCTCCAAAAAATTGCCAAACTCTACTTATTTTGCCACTATATTCTCTTGAATCAATCCCTTCTGCCCCTTCCTCATTGCTTCTAAACTATGTCTTCCCTGGAATACTGCAGTTTCAGAACTCCTATTCCCTCTGCTACTCATCTCTCACCAGGTTAATTTTCCTAACGTTCTGATCATATCTCAACCTCGCAAAAACCTTCAGAGGTTTACCGCTGCCTCCAGACTATCGACACACCTCTGGCCATGACCCTAAGCCATCTTTAAAGCTATTCTTACCATTACAGTATTTCTTTCTACATACTTCCTTGGGCACTTCTCAAGGTATTCCTTTATGCTTAAAATTTCCTTCTGATTTCAGTGGTTCTAATCCTATATATCCTTGGTCTGAGGTCAAACCCCCCCCCCCCCCCAATCATCTCTCCCTTGGGATTCCTTCTGCATTTATCCATGCTTCTCCTGATCTTTTATCACTTCCACCTTGTACTATAATGTAGATATCATGCCATCTTTACTAAACTATAAACTTCCTGAGGCTAGAATATGAGTCTGTTTAGCCTTTATATACCCACAGCTTTGCACCTACTTGACATTCATAAAAAATTGTCAAATCAATGGATTTTTAAAAAAACTTAATGTCCTATATTTCAAATTGCACTTATGTCCCTTATACCAATGATAAAAAGGTTTTAATGGACCCAAAGGTAATTAGTTTTTAATTATTATATCAATTTTTTGATGAAGATTCTAAATACTAACCCTGAAAATTTTCACCAAGTATACGTGTCTTAAGTTTACATATTATTGTTCATAATATACACACACATAGTAATTCCCAAATGATAATTTATTTTTTAAATTGGAAGTCTAAAACTTGCCTCTATTTAAATAACAGTCCAATTTTAAAATAACACAAAAAGTTGAACAGTTCAAATGTATTGTTAAATCCCACTTTTAATGTCTGTTATCTACATAGGATTATACTAAGAAAAGGGGGAAAGAAAACAGGTTTAAAGCCAAATATGGCCCACAGCCCTTAAATTATTTTAATTGTGGTGCTCAGCAAGAGATACAAGGATAAACATCAATTAGTCCTACAAAATTAACATTCATTTGAAGTATATTAATAGAGGAACATGGTTATCAAATTTATAAGAAATAATTTTGTAATGGCATAACTATTTTCTAGAAAATAAACATATTCTGTGTAGAGCATAATGTAATATTTATTATGTTACCACTTGCCTCTGAGGCTCTACTTAGCTCCATTAACGGCATGTGGTTCTAAACTAGGTCAGTAGCATCTAGTTAAACAGAAGTACATAATAACAGCAAATATTTTTGAGCACTAAACAATCTAAGCACGATTCTAAGCACTTTATATCTATTAACTCATTGAATCCTCATAAGAACAGTATTATCTAAACTCCATTATTACTTCTGTTTTACAAATGAAGCAACCAGAAAACAGAGAAGTTTAAGAACTTGCCCCAGGCCACACAGCCAGCAAGTAGCACAGTGAGAACTGAAGCCCAGGCCCGAGGCTGACAATAACCACCATGTTTATTCGCCTCAATAAACTGTCAGAATAACCCACAAAACAGACTAGAAGGAGACTACCAGGCCTTTCTTGAAGCACTGTGCTTTTTACCATCTGAGACTTCAAATCTAAGAGTTCTTCAATAACTTACCAAATGCCACTGTCCAACAGTCTCTCTTGTTTTCTCCTTGTACAGGTTCCATATTAGCAACAGGATCATCTTTTTGCCTTGGGTCCCACACCTTCACAGTTCCTGTCATGAATAAAAGTGAGTTGGCAAAATTCAATAGTCAATCATGACACTCATTTCTGTATTCTCTTCCTATGGTTTCCTGTGCACATGGTGATATGATAGGTGTCATCACATCTGAAAAACAGTTACTTCAGAAAAAGTTCCTAACTTCTAATTGGGTAAGCTGTATTTACTAGCAGAGATATAACCCATATGTTACTGTCTGATTTAAATTTTCAAATTAATAGATACACAGGAAAGCCAACTGTTCCTAAGTTATCAATAAGATATGATTGACAAGGCAAACACAAATGTTATGTAATTCAAATCATGCTTCATTTTCTTTGCTTAAGCCTAAAACTAACGTATTATTTATTTAGAATAATACCAGTCAGTGCCATTTTAATTTTTTCCTTACTACCTATATACAATCATCGATATTTTTATTATTTTTTATTTATTTATTTTAGCTGAGCCATCCTGCCACCTGTTGGCAGCTCAGTGGCAGCTCAGCTCGGGTCGGGAATCAAACCAACGACCCTGTTGCTCAGAGCTCAAACTCTTGAGCGAGCTCTTAACCAACTGAGCCACTCGGCCGGCCCGATATTTTTCTTATACTGATGAATAAACTGATTTTTACATCTGTGATTTCTTATGTGAGGTTTTAGAATGCTATTACATATATAATTAAGTTGAATTTCCCTGTGGCAATAGAGAAGAGGGAAATATTAAATAAAATTAAGAAATAACTCTTCTTAATTTACCTTGACTTCCTCATTTTAATGCAAATTACAGGACTACTAAGTGTTGCTTGCCTGTGAGAAATACAAATGCATGTCATAAAACGCCTAAAGGGCAAGTACCTGAGAAAGAATAGGAAAAGGGCAAAAAAGTCCTTAAAAGGGATAAGCGCAGAAAAAGCGGGGGTGGGGGTGGGGTGAAGGGGAATAGGACATTCAAATCTCCAGGTATAAAATAAGCCCGGGTGATTTCATTCCCAGCAATGTGACAAGGGGTTTATATTACTCAACACGGTTCACACAATTGATAAAATTCATATTAATTTTTCAATAGTTAAATGAGCCAAGAACACAGGCAATTCACAAAGCAAGATTAACTAGTAAACAAATATAGAAAGAAGTTAACACAAGTTGGAATGGAGTGCCACTTTTATCTATAAAATTAGGGGGAAAAAAAAATCAATGCTGGTAAAGTAGACCAGAAATCTACCTCATTTATTGTAACTGATTAAGGTAAATAGGTTCTTTCGAAAGTTTGCGATAAATCTTAAAAATCATAAAATACATGTATTCCAAAAGAGTTCTATACAGGATGATATTCATTTCTTCATTATTTTTAAGTCACTCTCCCATAGCAATAAACAAGAAACTTAAGCCGAATTAAATGCTTATTAACAGAGGCATGGTTAAGGACACTCTGACACACCCGTAGGATGGAATGTTGCACAGTCATTAAAATGGTAATTGGGAAAACTACATGGAAACAGCAACATTTACATATGACAGAACACAAATGAAAAAAGTAAGCTAGAAAGTCATATTCACACTAATAACTATACAAAATTGTACATAAGACCGGAAAGGAAAACAAAATGCTAGTTATGCTAGTGTGGTAGACTGAATGTTATTTTTCCTTCTGTCGGGTTGTCGGAAAAGTCATGACGCCTTTTTGCAATGAAAAACATAGAAAAACTACGTCATGACTTTTCCAACAACCCAATATATTACACACTGTTTTTAGGATAGGAATAAATATTTGATTTCTAAAACACAGTCGCTCTTGAGCAACTATTAGAAAACTCCATGTCACTTTTCTTTTAATTCCTGTTAGTCACTGTAGAGTGGAAGAGCCGAGCTGGTGTCCTTGGAGGTTTCTACAACGCTCAGTGGAAGGCTCACAGAGCTTCAGTGTTCAACCAGCTGTCAATATGACAATTTTCACAAGTACTGATTCTGCTTTTTAAAAAAAGAAAATGAAAAGCTGCCACCCACACTGCAGCGTCAGCTGCCTCAAAAACCTACAAAAAAATCTTAAGTCCTTCAAGGTTCACAGGAAGCGATGGTTGTTGGTAGTTGAAGTGGCTCAAAACTAAAATAATAAATGCTATGCCTCTATCTCAAAATACCCAAAAGGCTGAAACAATTTAGGGACATGCCATCAAACTTGCCTATTAAAAAAGTAGGTTGCTACATGGCGAGGTTACTTACCAAACAGGATTTCCAGATAGAGGATACACTGCTGTTTAGAGATTTACCTTTTGAAAAGAAGTGAGAACACTGTGACTCACCGTCCCGGCTGCCAGTCACGATTTCAGGGGCTCCTTCCCCAATCCCCAGCCCCCCTACGCCGTCCACAGCGTTTACAATTTCCTTATGGCCCTTTACAGCATACACGGGGGTCTCTGGAGCTTCCAAATTCCTAAACAACAGCAGATAGCGTCTTACTTACATTACACCACAGGTCCCAGACATTTAGTCCACTACTAAAATTTAAGAATGCATACCACATTTAGATTTTTGTTTCAAAACAAGGGTTTTGCTATGAAGGTAATTTATACATATACTTCCCATTTCTTCTCTCCACTTTGACATCTTGTTAGCTCTCAAGGAGAACGGTCTCAATCATTCACCCTGGAATTCAAACTCCTGAGCCCACTTTACTTATGTGTTCCTCAAAAATGATCTATCTAGAACCTCTGCACATGAATTACCAAGCATGCTTAGTAATAAATGCAGATTCACGGGCTCCTCTCCAGACACAATGGATGAGGATCTCTTGGATGGGGCCCCAAACCAGCTGACTGAAGTCTGATAATCGCTGCTTTAAATATAGAGGAAATTCAAAGTGATTTAGAATGTTTCCAAAGTAGCCCTTGGTACCGTATTTGCCAGCGTATAAGACGACTGGGCGTATAAGACGACCCCCTAACATTTCCACTCAAAATACAGAGTTTGTTATATGGTCGGCTGTGTGAGATTTTGCGAGTGTGGTAAAATCGCATAACAGCAAAATCGCATAACAGCCGAGCATACACCCAGCAGCGCTGCTGATGCCTGAACGGTATGTGGAATGAAGTGGGCGGGCATCGGGAGGCCACTATGGCACGGGGCAAGCACTATGGGCAGTCTATCTGAAGTGTACCTGGCGTATAAGACGACCCCCCACTTGGAGGCATATTTTTCAGGGCCAAAAAATCGTCTTATACGCCGGCAAATACGGTAGTTTCGTCTTGAGACCTTCTGAGGAATAAAATACGAGTAGTTTACTTTGTACACATTTATCCCTTTACAATGTTTTATTTTCTCACTGAATTCCATACTGATTTTCATCTAGTTATATATTTTTTACGGTATCATCATGTTGGTCACAAATATTATAGTCAAACTGGCTGAAGTTTGTCTAATTGTAGGTTATCTAAGAGAAAGGAATGCAGGAAGGTACCTATTACTGTGTGTGCCTGAGTGTACACTAGATGGCTGGGTGATGAATGGCTCAGGTAGGTTATGTTCATTCATTCCTTTGCTTGCATTTCCCCCTTCTTTTGCTTCTCTATTGGAGCTTCCTTCTATCCACGTTTCTCTGTAACAAGTCAGTTCTCAATAACCTATGCTTTAAAAAAAAAATGAATGTAGCTTTCCATGAAATGTAATCCCAATTTATTAATGAACAGAGATTAGTAGAATCTCACTTATCGAATTTGAGAGTTCAACCTAGTTTAGAGATCATGTTTATCTTTCTAGCATTATCGTGAAAGAATCAAGAAACTAAACAGAATTGAGCTTCCACTTAAAAAACAAAACAAAAAACAAAAAAGCTTCTGCTATTTTCATAGACTTTAAAACATTACTTTTTAAAATGTGAAATTACAAGACTTATCAATGAAACTAAGTTGGTAATTCCTGTTCTACACTAGGAAATTATTAAGAAAATAGTCAACAGTTACATTTGCTGCATATTCTTATATTGAAATATATTTATTTTAAAAAATAACAGACTGGTCTCTCTAGATTGAAAGTATATGACACAGCATGTAAGAACTAATGCATTCTAATAAATGCTAACTTAATTATTAAGTAGTTAAAGCAAGTGTAAATTAAAATAGCTTCATTCTATTTTATATTATGATTCTAAAACAAACAAATAGGTCAAAGTAATTTAATTACAAAGTAGTAGATTCCAAGTGAGAAGCAAGAAAGGTCACATTAGAAAATATGAAGACAGTTTCTTTCTAGAATATTACTGTGTAATTTAGATGATTAAGAGATATTCCTGAAAAGTAATTACAGAAAAATTTGAATTCACTCAACTCTAATTTAAATATGAGGAAATAACTCTAGATAAAACATTAAAATTAAAAGCATTTGGCACAATTGTGATTTTGCTCATTCAAAAACAGGTTTATCTTGATTTGCTCAATAGATGTGTTCCTAAAAAGTTGTGCTTCGATGTTAGCTAACACATTTAAAAATTTTTAAATGATTTGGGAGTTCAAGATTAAAAAATTAAAACAAACAAAAACTGAGTGTATCATTCTGTAATGTCTTGCTGAAATGTAAACAATTAATATCTAATTTTTCTCCGTGTTATACACATGTATTTTTATATATTGTATCCTACAAGGTGGAGGGAAACAGCTCTTTATTTACAAACTCAAGGTATTAAATGCTAGCACCAAACAGCATTTATAGAAATAAATATTGATAACATTATGTGAAATAGCTAAAAGAAAAATCAGAATTCTCTTTTTCAGAGGAAGAGTAACAAGACTATCATATAAATTGCTTATCTTGTGTCTTAATACTGATGAAATAATCTTACCATATATGAAGGTTTCCAGCAAAATCTCCAGTAGCTAAATATCTCTGCTGCAAAGATGTTGCACCAAATGTTCCACATTTAATGGGTTTGGCCTTTTCAATCTTGACAGAAGGGAGGGAGAGAGGATACATTATTTATGTAAGCAGCTATTTATAAAGCACAATATTTATGGCTCTATTATGAGATTTAAATGAGGCACATAATATAAAAGCAATTAAAATGGTTTCTGATAAAAATGGTCATGCTTTCCCTTTAGTCATTTTTCTATAGTTTAAAAGTACATAACTGTCAAAAAGAGTGAGTTTTAATTTTGCCTTTCCTCTCATCTCAGTAATGAGACATCCAAGTGCTGAATGTCTACCATCTCCACTGGTTTGTAAGTGTGAAAATTTCAGCATAATGTGGTTTTCTCCTTTAAGATCTTCAGTAGAAGCGAGACTATAATGAAGATATTATTCTTTCCAGATGGCTGCAAGAACAAAAATGTTTATGTGTCTCTTATAGTTTTCCCTGCAGAACTCTATAAACTGAGAATGTTTATGTCCTATTCTCTGTGGGACCCTTTCAAAAGATATCATGATATGGTACAAAGCTTCGGAAACTCCCAGCTTGTTGAGTTGTTTCATGGTTTGGCATCTGGATAAATTCGCAATCACTATGTCACCAGGTATAAAATAAAGCATTCACAGCTGCCTCGGAATTCTCCAGTAAACAAAATCAGTCATTTACAGTAACACGGTTGTAAAAGACCACACTGACGAGCCGCACAGAGCCGCACAATGTTAAACTTGTTTAATGCCGTAGGTGGGCCGAGATAGCATGTCTTTCACTCACTGATATTAATGTATTCCACTTATTTTTCCAATTTGATGAAGAAGAGTATCTTACAATGGGGCAACACAGAGATCAAAATTGTTGTCCATTTAACAAAGCAGACAGTTTCCACGTCACTTACATCCTTCCTATCTTCCCCTACCCACAAATAAAAGTAGCTGAAATGATACATTAATGGTGACATAGCATCTAACCACCGTTAGGACACCATTTCGATGTCTAAACGAATTCAAAGTTCCAGCTCACACCAACCGATAAAACGGCTGCTCGCTCCCTCCCGCTTGTCTCACACTGAACCTGGGTCTCCCCCAGCTCTACGTCATGGATAATGGCTCCCATGGTGTGAGGCAGGGAGTGAAGACAGGCCTCTCAGGTAAGAAAGCAGGTGGGCTCTGACGGGCAAGAATATGGTCCCAGGGGCTCAGGATTAGGAGCTGAGAGGAAACTTGCATCATATATTAATATAACTCTGGGAAAGTTCTTCTCAGAGAAGCTCTGGGAAGACTGGTCACCCACTGCTTCTCTTCCGCCAGCTAAAGTACTCTGCTCCCCAGAATTCCACTCCTTTCACCTGGAGCCTCGATGGGGCTTCTATTCTTCTTCCTAGTCCATGGAAGAGGCAAAAGGTGACTTCTACTATTTAGTGCTGACATAAGCACACAGTTCTAAGGCTTTATCGCTGGTAATAAAAACGTGGGAAGCACCAACTTCCCTCCGTTACTCCTTCACCTAACTTTCTCCTTTCTTTGGAATAGAGAACCGCACACCATGCTCAGGGAACATACTGATCTTCCAGTACCAACGTAAATTAGAAAAAAACAAAACATGGATTTTTTTTCCTCAAATTTAAGTTTTCTTCAATAATTTGTTTAGCTTGTCTGTTAGAAAATACTAGCAAATGAATACCAGTAAGAAAACCTGGAAATGAGGATGAACAATTTTATGTATGGTTCCTTCTTGTGATATAGTCAATTTTTCTACTGGAAAAATGCTTCCTTGTGCAGACATGGAACTATTCCAATACTTCACAGTGTTCCATAAACAGCACCGCGATGTCCAGGTGCTCTGACGTCAGAACACATCTGAGAATTCCTATCCCAGAAGAAACCAAACTGAGAACCTATTACATGACAGGCCCTGTACAGATAGTTTCACATTTGTTGCTGCATAGGTTCTAAAAGTGGGTCTTGATTGCAAATATAATGGAATGAAATAAGATGTATCTACAGACTTACACGAGTGGCACCAATCCCTATGGTATACAAAATACACAAAGCCCTTTGACACCTGGCCTTGTGGGTCTCTCTAGCTGGGTTTCCTGCTTCGCCCCTTTTGCCCCACTCCAGTCACACCTGCAGCTTTCATTTGTACCTCAGACACACCAAAGTCCTTTCTGCCTCAGGATGTTTGCATTTACTGTTCCCACTGCCAGAATTGCTCTTCCCTCAGGTCGTCATGTCTTCCTTGTTCTCCCAATTCAGATCTCAGTTTACATGTCACCTCCTGTAAGAGGCCGTCCCTGTCCCTCCAATCTGAAGTGGAACTCCCATATCACTGTCACTTGCCCTGTTTAATCTTATCAACAAAATTATTGGGTTGTCGGAAAAGTCATGACGCGTTTTTGCAATGAAGAACAGAAAAAATACATCACGACTTTTCTGACAACCCAATATTTTATTGATTCAATTATCTATCCCTTCCCTTTCTAGAATGAGTATCGTGAGAATGGGACCTTGTCCAGTTTGTTCAACACCTAGTAAGTGCTCAACATATGTTGAAGGAACTTAAGTATAAATGAACATCTATTAATCTCTGTCCTAGTGCTGGGGAAAGAGAAACCACTGATAGGGTTCACGTTCCCACTTCTCCACCATATTTTCATGTGACACACTGTATGCTTTCCGGTGTCATTTATATGCAATAATGAAAATAGCATCCATATACTGAACACCTACCTATATGTCACATACTGTTCTGGATGTTTTCTAGACTAGACCATCCCTTCTCTTTCTAACACACTCAACTGCAAACTGAGCATTTGAAACGCCCTTTCCAGATGAGGGAACAGGTTCAGAGGACTAAGAGACTTGCCCAATGTCCCTAGAACCAGGTGGATTATGCTTCCTTCATGTTATCTTTTCTCTTTATAGCAAAGAAACATAGAGATTTATAGACACTAGTGGTATGTTGTACAAGAATCAAATTAAACTCAAAATATATCAACATATTAACTAATAAACTCAATCATATAAATATCTTAAGTGCACTGCAACGAGGACCTTCACTTTGCTCAGAAGGGCTGAGCTATGCTGACAGGTGGACTTATAAAAGCAGGGGGTGTCTTCTCTTTCATCAACCATTCATGGAAATCATAACAGCAGCTAAATTACGAGGACACTGAAGTGAGGTAATTTTTTATAGTTCATAAAAGGGCTCTCTCCCTGCTCTCGTTGAATATTTTACATTTGCAAAAAAAAAAAAAAAGATGAAAAGAATTCACTGGTTACTTAAAATTTTTTTTTGCTAGAAAACTGTTTAAAAAAAAAACCCAAAATAAAAAAAAACCGAAGATCTCTTTTGTGAAATTTGTTCCACAGTGAAAATTAGTATATATTAACTTTTGCTATATGATAAAGTGACCATCCATGACTGTCACATTTGAAGCAGCTGTCAGTTCTCTATGTTACAATAAGTTAACATGATTAAAGAAGCCCATGATCAATTATTCCTGGGAGAGATATTTTTGTTCTGTCTGGGGGTGGGTCTAGTACAGCCTGTCAGTATTTCCTCCTCCACACCCTGGCACTACTTAATTAACTTTAAAAGGTTTAGTCAACTAAATGCTAACAAGCAGAGAATTCAGTGGCACAAGGGCTAAAAATACAGAACTTTATTAGATTATAAATTTTTAAAAATGTAAACGTCCCCAACTATGATTCCATTTTTCAGGGCACCCCCCTAGCCCTTTGTGCCCATTTGAAAAAAGGTGCACAGGCTAATGAAGTCTCACACAGGTAAGGCTTGATGAGAAAGAGATGGATTTCAGCTCTCACTGAAACCTTGGCCAGACACCTGTGTGTGGTGCAACAAACTGCTCAACTATGCATGGAGGCCCTGACCTCATTCCCTACCTATCCTCTTAGTAACACGGTAAGGACGGCATCAACAGAGGCCCATTTGCTTCCTTCCTTTCCACTTGGATGCATGTGCTTTGGGGCACATGACTTGGAGTGGCTCCACAATGATAGAACCAAGTATGTTTTCTAATATTTTAATAAATAATTCATCTAGCTCAATTGTAGTCAACCTTGGTACTCATTAGAATTGCCTGGTTGAAATTTTAAAAATACTGTACTGATGTTCAGGCCTCACTCTAGTCTAGATGCAACAGTCCGAGTGCATCAGAGTATCTAGGGGGTGGGATGAAGGCATGAGTATTTTAAAACACACATACAAAACAACAAGAGCAACAATACATACTCAGGCCACCCTGATGCACAGTGAGAGCTGAGACTCACTGAGCTTGTACTTAACCTACATCCTTTTCCACTGCATCATCACAACCAAATACAATGTAAGTTCTTAAAAGTATTTTTGCTTTTGTTTTAACCTCACTGTAGACAGTAGGCTCTTTAGGAGAAGGGACTCATCTTTCAAATACCTTTCGTCTTTCTTTAACATAGTACCTTGAAATAATAGTTTCTCAATAGATAGCATATGGTAGAAAAAAGAAGACCCAAAGGATACAGGTGAAAATACAAAAAGTAGTTACTCTTAGGGTTGAGATTATGGATGATTATTCATGTTCTTCTTTTCCTACATATATTTAAAATATGTTCTATCAAGAATACATTACTTTTGTTTAAAAAGCTAAATTATTTTAAAAACTTGCGAGAATCCTCCAGAATCTCTAGAAGAGACAAAGCGCAATATTTCATTTTATGAACAAGTGTATTCCTGAAATGCACACAAATTACATAGTCTTGGAAAAAAGAAGTCACAAGTCTGTAGATGCTCTTTGGTAGAGCTTTGATTTTCACCTTTACGTTTCTTTCGGCTATTCTAATGTTTCCCATCTGTTCAAACCCCTAACCACAACTGAATGATCAATAAACTAATATTTAAATTTCCCAAGTTATATATCCTTTTACAGACATACATTTACTCATTATTTTAAAAGTAATAATTTATTGAGTGACTGCTCCTTACATATCACACTAAAGAATGACACCAGTCCTTACTGTCCAGGAGCTTATAATCTACCGTATTTTGCCGTGTATAATGCTAACTTTTTTGGCCCAAATTTGTGAGGGAAAAATAAGCGTGCGCATTATAGATGGGTAATACTAATTCCGTATCTATATAAATGTTTTTAATTCTTTTAATTATGCTTATGAGTTAACAGTATAACTAGAAATCAATAATGATATCCGTATGCAAAATAATACCCTGGAATATGATAATCGGTTTTGTTGAATTTATGACGAACTTGCTTGCAACAACGAAAAGTTCTTGGCCTTCTATGATGCTTAAATATGTTACCAGTACATAAAACTTCTTGTACCTTGTGTCTGTGTTTTGTAATTATTTGTTACATAAAGTTTCTTGTACCATAATATGTTTAAAAATAAATGCTAAAATTCCTTTATAATACAAAAAACAAGTACTAAATGTAAACAAATAAAAATTTGAATTGAAAAATTAAAACAAAAGATTTTATTTCCCCTGAAAGTTTGGGCCAAAAACGTGGGTACACATTATACACAGGAACGCATTAGACTCGGCAAACTATGGTAATTAGAGATAAATGGGACAGAATGATATATTTCAGGCACAGACAGTAAGTGCCATAGGAATGCAACGTAAGAAAAGTTACTTTGTGTGGGGATCAGCAGCAGGACCTCAAAAATCAAATAATCTGAACTGGACCTTAAAATAGCAACACGTGACTGGGGGACAGGTGGTGAACAACATAAGGAAAGGTAGAAAAGAACAAGCCATGTTTATTCTGAGTAGAGTGCCCAACTAGAGAAGGCAAACTGAACGAGAAAACTGGCATTCATAGAAAATTAAAGTGGAATGGGATCTTACATACCTTCTCATCTAATCCTGCCTTTGGTATTGTATTCATCCTTTACCTACTAGTTTAACCCCTCAGTCCTCCAAGCAGATTCTCTCCATAGCTTTTGATTCCTGGAGTTGTCAACCTTCCCTGTAGTCTATTACAACCCTAAACACCTAAGTATGATGACATTTTTTTTCCCAGGCAACCCAAATCAAGGCATTTTTAAAACTGTAAACCGGCATAAAAATGTTAGTTAATATCACTATTCTCAAGTTTTCACTAGTGATCTTTACAAAACTTGTCAACCTGATCTTGCCACACCCTGCTTAAAACCCTTCAATGATGTCCCATTTTTCTTAGAAAAAAGGCATAAATCTTTAAATGACTTACAGGTCTTGCAACGCTGATCCCTGCTTACCACTCTTGTTTAAGAAAATAACCTCCCCGCCCCCCCATCGCTGTGCTTCCGCATATGCTGTTTCCTCTGGGAACCTCCTCCTCTGCTCCTAGTTTGGCCTAGTTTCTAGTCATCTCAAATCTGGTTTTACTCTCATAGAACCGTGTTCCTTTACGCTAGAGTTCACCTTGATTTGTATTTATGCATCGTTGGTTTCATTATTTAACTGATCCTTTCTCCCACAAGACATCTCCAAGAGATCAGAGACACTGTCATTCACACGCCTGGGAATACCAGGCAATCAACTGATACTTGTTGAAAGAATAAACGTTAGGTTGCCTGCTCCAATTACACCGCAGGCATCCTGGTGCCTGCTTTAGCTCGGCTTGTAAGAAAACGCCTTTTACTAACAGGGGCCTTATTGACAGACTCTCCACAAACTGCGCACTGCCCAGCAGGGCCTCGAATTTAGAGCCGAAGTGGGAACGTCACTTCCAGAGACCTCGCTCTGGATTATGGAGGCGGGTGAAGCAGGGGGCCGGCAGGGTGCACAAGCCCTCGGAGCATTCAAGACTCCAACGTCGGCATTTTACGTCCAAGTATTTATTCCTCGATCTGCGGTCCTCTTCGCCACTCCCGCGCAGCTCAAGCTGTGCTTTTGGGGGACCCTGAACGAAAACTTCGCCCAAAAGGAATGCAGACCCCCCCACACTCGCCAGCGGCACGCCCAGATCCTGGAACTGGGCAGGCTCGACCCGGCACCCACCTCCCGAAGCAGCTTTAGGTCCCCGTGCTGGATCTCGTACAGCTGAATCACGCCGGTGCCCCGTGCGAAGTTGCCCATGGTCACAAATTTGGCGCTGCAGGGCACCCACTTACAGTCAAATACCGTGTAATTGAGGCCCTTCTGGATATGGGCGATGATCTGAGGCTTCTCAAAGGCCGACATAGCGCAGCCGGACACACTCAGACCCGGACAAAAAAAACACTAACCTGGAAACCAGACTCCAAACAGTAATGACAGTTTGTCCTTCCCGCTTGCCGTACTCGCCCCCTGACGCCCTGGTGAGTTGGATTTAGTTGTCTCAGACAATGCCAGACGTGCTACTGAAGTCGCACAAGGTGCTTCTTCACCGATGGCACAAACTTCTTCATCGCCTTTACCTACTGTCTTTAGCACATATACAGATTAGAGATCACAAAACGCTCTGGGCTGTGAGTGGCGGGGCCAGGCGGAGACCATAAGAGTAAGGCATATTTTAGGATAGCCTCCTTTCCTTCCCAACAAACGGACGTCTTAGGAAAGGGGGCGGAGCCCTGGGGCTGGTTGGCCAACGCTGAAGCCGCGGGGTGCCGCAGCACACGTGTTCGAGTCGGAAGCGCCTGCTGGGGCTGCAGATTCCCGGGCATGGCGACACAAATGGAGGCGCAGGCCACTGGGGCCGAGGACGGCTTCACCCCGGTCACCCGCAAGGGTGCCCGGCGGGCGAAGAAACGGCCGGCTGAGGCGCTCTCCGCGGCGGAGGAGGACGGGGACGCGGGCCGCATGGACACGGAGGAGGCCCGGCCCGCGAAGAGGCCTGTCTTCCCTCCCCTCTCCGGGGACAGGTTCCTGGTACAGGCGGGACCCTAGGACAGGAACGGGGCAGAGGCCAGAGGGTGGTTAAGCAGGGGTGTGTTGAAACTGCGGGGCCTCTTCTGGGGTGAAGTTTTTAGAGAAGTAACTCGGCCGAAGTTTAATTAGTTCAGTTGAAGGACGCTTTTGTGTGTGGATCAGCTGTCATTTTACAGCTCCACCCCCATTCCTCCAGACATCTCCTGAGCTGTGTGTTCTTCTGTTGTAGGATGGGAAGGAAGAAACAAGGAGAATTCCAGTCCCAGCGAACAGATACACACCATTGAAAGAAAACTGGATGAAGATATTTACTCCCATTGTAGAACATTTGGGACTTCAGATACGCTTTAACTTGAAATCGAGGAATGTAGAAATCAGGGTAAGGGAGAATGTCAGCCTTTCAAATATACGAGGGTTTCTCCTACACGGATGAAAATGCATGAATAGATTTTCCTCAGTGGGACTGATTTTGTTAAATGGCTTTCTCCCAATTAACACACATTTTAGTGGAATTCATAAGTTGGGTCTGAGATCATACCAAAATACTGTCTATGCCTGTGCATGTTTTTTATGTTCTGTGTTGAGAAAAGACCAAGTGAAGAGGTTGATATAAACAGAAGTATGTAATTAATGAGCTGAAGTATGTGCCACAGCACAGGCACTAGATATTTTAATGGTGTTATTTTTGGGGGAAAATGTATTATTTTGAGAATAAGTATAAATTTTATATACACACACATATCTATATCATTATCTATACATATATATTTTTCATTCCATGGTGTCAGGCCAGGAGTTACACAATTAAAATTAATTGACTTTGGGCTTTTTCTGAGGGCCAATTTTGTATCAGAATCAAAGACCAAAATTAATTATATCTTCCTTTTTGAGGATTGCTACACTGTCATCAGCACTGGTATAGACTCATCTTTGCTGAGGGACTAGAATAATGGAAAAAATGCTGAGAGGCACTGCTCCAAATAGTTGGTCAAGTTTAAAATCCAGAACTTGACAGGACTTCTTGCCACTTGCATTCAGGCTTTTATGGCTTCATGCCAAAACTTGTTGCTCCCTTTGCTTCATTGCTTTGTGTTTTCACCACTCCATCCTCTATGCCAGAGCCAGGTTGATTTTCCCAGACCACACTGATTTTATGATGATATCCTGGTATCTTCAGTGTCTCTGAAGGATAAGAGTTAAGTTTTTGACTGAACTTGCCTTTCAAGTAGGAGTCTCACCATCTCTTTGAACATTTTTATGTCCGTGCATATGGATGGCTTTCCTCTCTGACGAAGGCCCTCTCCTCCCTGCATCGCTTGTCTTCCTGCCTCGGTTCCATCTTTCGGGGTCTAGCTCAAGTTCTTTCTCCTTTATGATCACTCCATTTTTCACTTATGTCTTCAGTGCCTCAACTTTTATTGCGCTTAGCCGTCATATGTGTTGCAGCGTCATCACTAACACTTGTTGATACTGCCGTATGCTAAACACACTGGTGCTTGTTGTGCCGTGTGCCATTTTGGCCTTTAGAATAGCCCTACGAGGTAGCTGACATATCCCCCATCTTAGGGATGTGAGGCAACGGAGGGTCAGAGGAGTGTCTTGGCCAAAGTCATCAAGCTCAGAAGTGAATCTTGATGCCAGTGGGGACCTCTCAGGATCTCCTACCGCCTTGTTTTAGATGAGAAAACTTGAGACCTAGAGCATCTGTGGGACTTGGCCAAGGTCACATACAGGATTGGAGCCAGGATCTACTTTTAAATGTGTCATTCATTACACAACCCTGTATGATTTTAAATTTGCCAAATATGTGGTCTCCTCAGCTAGATTGTGAGTCTATGGGAGAGTGGAAATAACAGCTTCACCAATCAGACCTGTGTTTGAATCTTTTCCCTTTTTCACTTTTTAGTACTTCAGTTTCCTCATATATAAAGTATTTATTCACTTAATATTCAAGGTTGTCATCAAGTTTAGAACTATAGTGTGTAAAACACCTTTGCTGTGCATGTCATTTACAGTGGCAGGCATTTTGTGAAGAGCGGCTCTTTCTGGAATTATCAGATAAACTCTCTGAGGGCAGGATCGCTGCTTAAACCATGCTGGGTAGTCAGTACTGGAGTCGGTGGTTTGAGGCTGGAAGTCCTTCAGTGTGTGAGCGACTGTGCTGTGCTAGAGGAATCTTGCTGTTAACCCCCGAGTGAGATCAGTCCTGGAGCGCAGCCAGCCACTTGACAGTCTGTGGGTGGAACTGTCCAGCTCTGGAGCTGGGAAAGTTTTGTTTTGCAAATTAAACACAGCACTTACCTCGCCAAAAACTGGGTCCTAGAGAATATATTGGGGAAGGGTGGTGGTGAAGGACATTACAAATAATGGGAAAGGTCATTCCAAGTACTCTGTTAGAATATTACTTTTTCATCCCTACCTGCAATTTGTGCCTTTTTTTTTAAACAGACTTGTAAAGAAACCAAGGATGTTAGTGCTCTGACAAAAGCAGCGGATTTTGTGAAAGCCTTTATTCTTGGGTTTCAGGTGGAGGTGAGTGATTTCATGATATCTGAAATGGGGGCTGGAAGAATACTCAGTACGAATGTTTCCGTGGATTTGGGCATTTTATTTTATTTTCATTTGAGTGTTCTAGTTCTATCATTGGTGAATTTTAGCTTAATGCTCATGTTCAGTTATCTAAATGGAAAGGTGTCACAGGATTTATTTTTATATTGTAGGACGCACTTGCCCTCATTAGGTTGGATGACCTCTTCTTAGAGTCTTTTGAAATTACAGATGGTGAGTATATGGTAGTTTTGTTACAAAATACTGTACTTTTATACTGTTTTGGCTTTGTACTGTGTGTCTCTCCACTTTCGAATAGCATCAGTTGAGCTGTATTATTAGCAGCTTTTTTTTTTAAAATGTACATTTTGTGTCTTTTAGTAGAATTTTCATTCATGGTTAAACTTGACGTGGAAGTGGGTGGTGCGCTGGAATGGCTCGTCTAGAGGTCTTGCTTTTCTCGTTTAGTGAAGCCCCTGAAGGGAGACCACCTGTCGAGGGCAATAGGAAGAATCGCTGGCAAAGGAGGAAAAACCAAATTCACCATAGAGAACGTGACACGGACTCGCATAGTTTTGGCTGATGTGTAAGTATGTGATCTTGAGAAAATTACTGTCGTGATTTATATTTGATCTTTTCTTGGTTTCAAAAGGTGGTAAAGATTGTGTTTTATGCATAATATTGCCACCAAATCTTTGTCAGTATATGATTCTAGCTGAACAGATAGTTTCCTACTTTGAAAGCAGATGAAGTTAGTTGAAAAAATCTTAGCAATTATAGCTTTTTGTCAGTTAGCAATGAAGGAAATGTTTAGACTCACTATTAAAAGAAATTGCGTGACAGGCGAAGATTTAAATAGTATCTCGGGAATCTATTAAATCAGTAGGGAAAGCAACGAGTAGGTGTTTAAAGTGACATTGTGAGGCTTTCCTTTTTAAAACGTGTGTGTGTGTGTGTGTGTGTGTGTGTGTGTGTGTG